TAAGACACGTGGCCCAATAAAGGCTTGACACGTGTCAATCTTTCAGCGGTCTGCAAAGGCCCAATTCCTTTGCAGACACGTGTCCCTTATACCCTAATTGAGGTACAGTTCTCCCTTACTATAAATAGTAAGGGTAGACCTCATTTATGACACACATACATTAATTGCAACCACAAAAAAAAACCAAACAAAGCCCAAACCTACTGAAACGCTCTCGAACCGAGAAGCTTTTACTGTTCTTATTCCACTTCGAAAAGATACTAACTTAATCTTCGGAGGCGAAACTCCCACCCCCCATCCGGAGTCTCCGTTACTTGTGCAGGTACAGGCGTAAGAAGGAAGTCTGCTAGGTGCAGGTACAGGCGTAAGAAGGAAGTCTGCTAGGAAATTGTAACTCTCCCGAAGGACACATAGAAAACCCCCAAACAATTTGTTAGGATATTTTGAGCATATTCCAAAAGGATAATAATTGATTTAAATAATGTGATCATCATTATTAGTTTGAAAATAATCGATTTTAAAATTATTTGATTGGGTAGTAATTAGGATAAAATCTCCTAAATTTGTTAGGATAATCATGTAAAATGAATATGATTTATCTTTCCATATTAAAATAATATTTGATTCTATCTCATATCAAATTTAAAATATATGATATTTTATAGATGACAATGAACAATATATTATATTATCTAATTACGAATTTAAAAATATTTTAGGAATTGCGTTGCCTTAATTAAGAATATTCGATATTTTAGTTTAGGAAAACATGTTGAGAGGTTTATTATATGACACTTTTATATAATATATATGATATTATGTTTCTATATATAGACTAGTATGACCCATAGATTCTAAATACGATCTGCGCATCGTGATGTATTTTTGTAATCTAAATACGGTCTGCGTACCGTTAAGTATTTTTGTAACTTTTTATTTACAACGAATAGATTAGTTATTTTAATAGTTTAGTCCAAAGAAGCTCATGAAGTGAAGGCCCAAAGGAGCAAGCTAGATGGAGATCCATGAAAGTTCAAGGGGGAGCATTTCAAGTTTAGTTTTCTTAAGACTAAGGGGTCATACTATGTCATGTTTTATTTTATGCATTAGTAGATTATTGTAACACCCCAATAATTCTCTCTTTAAACCTGTAAATACCTTTAATAAAATCCAAGAGAATTACTGACATGCTACCGCCACATGTTCAAACGTTAAGGCTAATTCAAATTTTAACAACGGAAAAGTCAACTTAGTTATAAATAAGTTTCAAACCAATGAATAAAACCAAATTAAGTCTTACAAGCTAGAACCATTAAGGCCCTTATTCAAAACCCAACAAAATTAGTAAATAAACTGAGTTGAAATAAATTCAATCTTATGAAATGAAATAAACTATGAACAATAACCAACACTCCATTGAAAATCCCACCGCCTTGATGCAAGTCCAGACTATGTAAACACCTGTGATTAATCTGCTCCCCAATATTGCAAGTGTAAAAATTGGATCATTACAGGGTCATTGAAAGGCAAAGACCATGATCAAGAAAAGACATACAAAAGCACGCAATCAGCAACACTGAGTACATACAAGCTACGAAGGATAACAAAGAATTCCTAACACCCTACTAATTAAAATCAACACACAACAATTTAATAATTGACTTAAGCACATGACTCAACTGTTAATATTATTAAGACTTCTCTAATTAGCTTTGATTATTTCATGTCATTTTTTTTTCTTCATTGGATTAAGAAATAGACAAGGTTGTCTCCCCATGCTCCAACTCGAAACATCAATAAAAGAAATACCCCATGCCTCCTTTCGGAAACATCAATAAACATCCAAAGGTAGACGGGCGCGACTCCGTTGCCATAGCTAGTATGAGATCTCATCTAGCTCCTTATAGTTTTAAAAAGTATTTGAAAACAAGAGACTTGTAGATCAGACGACCTCTAGAAATGTGCACGGCTAATACCCCGTGTACACCAACCCCTGTTTGTCATTACTCTAGATGTGCACAGATCTAGAGTTTTATTGCTCATCCATCTTGCACTTTACATGATTTACAAGCTTAAACTTGGTGATGACTCAAATGCAAAAAAATGCGACCAATCAAACACTAATCATTCAAGCAATTCAAATTTCCAATTCAATTCTTGATTTATTAGTGATAAGAAATTTTATTATTGAATCCTTTAACTACCTCGGTGTATAAACACCTTAAGTGCATAAGGCACCTCAAATCCTCTAACTCGTCTTATAATACTTTAATTCTCCCTTTACTCATTCCATTTCATAAACACGAACGAGTAATAAGATAAATCATTCCAGATATTTATGTACCTTTGCCTCTTAGCTCATCTTGCAAGTTAATGCATAAATAATACTTACAAGATAAATCAATACGCATTTCTCATACATGAATCAAAATCAATCATCACATTAATTATCAATCAAACTCATTACCATACAATTTCAACCAATCCACAAGTTTCCTAACATGATTCTAAATTTTCCAAGTCCTTAAACATGCTCCTATAATCAAGGTTTTTCGTATCCTTGTATGTACCTTGAGTAAACGAGTTGGTTGGCCACTTTAGGAACTAGAAATCGCCCTCTACAAAGTCTTCTCCTAAACCAAACAACAATAATTCAATCAATACCCAAGCAATATAATTTATAGCAATACCAAACTACTTTAAAACCCCTTAAACCATTGAAATAATGCCTTTAAATTATTCACAACAGTCAAAGTTAATAATTTAATAGTTCAACTATAAGTTTATATTTTAAAATCATGAAAATATAGCTTATAACATGAAATTCCAGCAACTCCAAAGTAAGGAATATAATTTGAAATCTTAGTTTAAGATTATAAAACAACCTCATATCTATTTGAAATAATCATTATGTAGAAGGTTAGTATGTTAAAAGCCTAAAAACCCATCGTAAAACCATGATTTAAAACTATGACTAAAAATCTTGAAATTTAATTAGTAATAGAATGTATGAATACAACAATCTAAACTTGAAATATATAATTAGAACTCAATTAGTTTCATAAAAACTCAATCAAACCTTCAAATTTCACAACTTAAACCCTAAAATAAACATAATTCAAATCTGAAAATTAATTTTAATACTAACAATAAAAATTATATGCTAATGTAATCAACATAGGGTTAGTCCAATCCCCTAATATGAATTTAGCCCTAAAATCCCCAAATAATTAAGTTTAAAGCCCTAATTTCACAAATTATGTAATCTGAAAATTTAAACTACATATCATAATTTATAAACTTGATAATTTCTCATGCTTTTAAAGAATTTAAACATGATTAAAGTAATTAAAACTAACAATATAAATTAAGATAACAATCTTTAATAATAATAAGGAAGAAGGAGAAACAGGGGAGGAAGGAGGAAGGGAGAAGAGAGGCAAAACCGGCAGCGGGCATGGCTGGTGGTGGTCTGGACAGGCAGCAGCGGGCGGTGGTGGTTGAGCAGCGGCAGCAGGTATGGCAGCGTTTTTTTTGCTTGATCGTGAAAAGCAAGAAAGCGGGGGAAGCAGTGAGATGAAATTGACGTGAAAGAGGGGGAAGAATTTAAGGGTTTCTGGGGGTTTTTAAATGTGCATGTTGGCTTGGTTTCCAAACTTAAGTGGGAGTAGCAATTTGTAGATTGGGCTTAAATGGGAGTTTAAGATTTCTTTATTCAAAATTGGGGTACCCACGTTATAGACAAAGTAAGTTGGTCCATAGGGAGGGAAATTTAAATTAAAGTAGTGCCTATTAATTTTAATAGAGTTTAATTAAGTTTTACATAAAATAATTTATTTAATGAAAACGAAATAAAATATTTATTTAAATAATAAAGAAATATACTATAACTTACTCTAAAATATGGGGGATTACAATTATGCATGCTAGGCTTTATTTATGTTGTTGATGATGCGCTAGAGTTCACTATATTAATCATAACATAATAAATCTAGGCTCCGGAAAATATTGAGATTGCTTTTCCAATTAAAACCCCAACAACGCTTCGATAATTAATGATAGGTCATGCCAAAGTTGGGTGTCATTTTTATATCTTAGGTAACTTGGGGTAAATCAAGTTTTACAATTTTAATTGGTTATGCTCAACAAGGTTACCTAAAGCGTTTAGAACCTTGAAGCAAAGAGTAATAATTAAATATGTGATGGTTAATTATTCAACCAAGAATTACAAGAGTTGTAATCAGTAAAGTGTTTACTCACCTTGAAAATGTAATGGTTGATGCATAGTAGGGCCAAAGTCCAGTTAATTATTACATAAATAAAGGATCTTGGAATCACTTAACTCAAATGGGGTCATTTAATATTGAATAAAGTGTTTTAAAGTAACCAATTTAATTCGTTTATGGTACTTTAATTTTATTAAACATAATTATTGAACTTTGCCTTATTGTGTCATACATGGGTAGCCGTAACAATGACAATAGTTCTATTTTCAATCTTTGACCATTCCTTGAGAAGGATAGGTTGACAGGAGAAAAATTTTCCAACTGGGAAAGAATGTTGAGACTTGTTCTAAAAACTGAAGGTAGAGAGGATGTTATTGAAACCCCATTGCCTCCATTGCCATAAAACGCTACTGAGGCTCAAAAGCGTAGGCATAAGGATGCTCTTGAGAAAGATGTACCAATCACTTGATTGATGTTGGCAACTATGGAGCCTAGCCTTCAAAAGCTTTTTGAAGACCATGATGCATACACCATCATGAAAGAACTCAAAGCCTTGTTTAAGAAACATGCACGGGTTAAGAGGTACGAGCTCCATTGAGAGATTCTGGATTGTAAGATGGAGAAGGGTGCAACAGTTCATGATCATGTTTTCAAAATGATTGGCCTTATTCATAATATGGAAAAATTGGGGCACCCATATAGCTAAGAGACTATTGATATCATTCTCCACTCACTTCCAAATTCCTTCAATTCGTTTATCATGAACTTTTTAACATGTCTGATGCTGAGAAGACATTGAATGAGTTGCATGCTATGCTGGTTAGTGCAGAGAAGCAAATCTCTAAGGACGTTAAGCAAATCCCTTTCTGTCTTATGGTACAGAAAGGGAAGGGGTTCAAGAAGAAAGGGGAAAATGTCAAGGGTAAGGGCAAGAAAGTTGCCAAGACTCTTGAGAAGCCCAAGCCTGCTGGTGAAAGTGAATGCTTTTACTGCAAGAAAAAAGAGCATTGGAAGCGCAATTGCCGGAAATGCCTTGACTACCTTAAGAATAATGGAGCATCAACCTCAAGTAACTTGTTATAAACATTTTAACTTTCACTTAGGTATGTGATACCAAGTTGCAGTGCTAGCACTATTTATGTTGTGCAGAAACTTCAAAGAAGTGATGCTAGCATAGAAATGGAACTCGAAGGCGCATGAGAAGTGTTCTAATGGCTAGAGAAAGCTTCATAGTTTTAATTTCTGATTATTTTATGATGATTTATGACTTATTTCCGAGTTTTGTTGAGACAATTTTCAGGTTTTTTGTTGAAATACTGATTTGGTTTACTTGCCATGGACAAGTGTTGATCCATGACAAGGTAATAAATTGTTTTCATTTGCTAGCTATGAGTTAATTTTTCTTATAACATTGATATGCATAGATCACAAAAGCGAAAAACAGATTATTCAAAACTAACGTACTTATAACATAGTAAGGTTAGGTCACATAAACCAATTGCGCATCCAAATATTACAAATGGATGGAAATATTTCTAAATTACAAAGATTATCAATTCGAATTTCTAAAAAGTAAAATATAGAGAATTTAGTATGATTTACAATCATCTGACCATCTGCATCCCACCCACCATCACCTACACCCCCCTAAACCCATCGCCTACACCCAACATCACCACCGCATACACGCCTCCAACACCCATCCCACCACCATGAACCCAGATGAAGAAATTACCTTAAAACCTCAAATTTGGGTTTTAAAGGTCAAATTCGACCATGAAAACTCTAGATCTAGTGTTTTCATGGTTGAATTTGACAAGAAAAACCATTAGAATGTAAATACTGGTGGTGGTCCTTGGTCGTTTGCGATTTGCCTAAGTATTGTTGCCTTGTTGGTCGATTTGTCGAAGAGGAGAGTGAAAGTGGAGAAGAAATCAAAGAGGAGATAGAGAAAGAATGGAGTAGAGAAGATCAGAAGAAGAGGATTAGAGGAGAGGGAAAGACCGAAGAAGAGGATTAGAGGAGAGAGAAAGAGTAAGAGGTTGAGAAGAGGAGAGACAGTGGTAATGGATTAGGGTTTTTTTTTTTTTGCTTTATATAGTATGGCCAAGAATTCGGTTCGATTTGGGTTTTTCGGTTTTTCATTTCCAAAAACCGAAACCGAACCACATAATTTCGCTTTCTTGGTTTTACAAACCGAAACCGAACCACTTAAGAAAAAAACCGAATCATATTCCTAATTCGGTTCGGTTTGGTTTTAAACCAAATTTGTTTCACCCTACATTGTAGGCTCTTAAAACCAAATAATACTGAAAACCTTTACGTTAGTCTCATGAGCAAAATAAAATAAATAATATTCAAAGCAAATAAAATACATCATATCCCTAGGGAAACTAAGCATGATTTGCTCTTCACTCATGCCCATCACGAAAATGCTTCATCACCTGAAAAGCTTCTCTCTACTTGTCCCCACTACTCGCCATTAGAAATGGGTCGTCGTAGGGCCAAAGTAAAGACAAGGCCAAACAAACATACAAACACACAATCAGCAATGTTGAGTACATAAGCGTAATAAAATCACACTAACATGCTTTCATCTTATCAACACACAACTTACCATGTTGCACCTGTTTACAAGCATACAAGACACTCAAAAACTAACTAGACAAATACCAATGTTCAATTATTTCTGATTACGCATCGAACGAGTTTCCCCCTAACCTACCCCAATAAAGGGGTACTAACACGGGAGCTAACCGTGCCTGTATAAAATAAACCACTCATAAGTGGCGGAATTCCTACGCATAATAAAAAGGAAAATACAGCGTCCTATACTCCCCGTAGAAGTTATGGTCAAATATTAAGTCGCATAACTCCCCCCATATGTTCAAACTCAGGGTATATACGTTCCGAGAGTTTTGGTGTGTAATCTCTTTCAGTTTACGTTATTTACATATGATTAGACTTGGTGATGACTCTCAAACCATAACAGAATCGAACATTATAATTCATTCAAGCAATCAAACGTACCAATTTAATTCTTGTATAATTAGTGACCACATAAATTAAATGTTGAATCCTTTTTAAACTACCTCGGTGTTAAATAACACCTTAAGTGCATAAAGCACCTTAAATCCTATCCTTCGGTGTTAGAAACACCTTAAGTGCACTTAGGCACCAAAAATATAATTTAATCCTGGTGTACATAGACACTTAAATAGCTCCTTCCTCATGCTTATAGCATCAATAAAAGTTACATGTACCATAATAAAATGTCCTTTTCATACTCCAAACCAAATTAAACATTTAGTTTAATTAAACATGCTCTCTAACATGCCAATAATAAAAGTGTGGTTCATAGACAACATGCCATTACAATTAATTCCAAACACCAACTCATCATAAATAATTCATACATCACAAATCGCTCACCAACATCAATCCAATCAACAAATTCCAATCATCACCTATCATGATACTATTTAATTTGGAATTAATTAAACAAAGCCTACTAGCATGCTTCTACATATTCAAGTAATCACCAAGTACGTGAACGTACCTTGAATATGATCTCAAAATCGCCACGACTAAATAAATCACTCACTTGAAAGTCTCCTACAAACCTAAATTACAAAGAAGTATTAATACCTCTTCCACACAAATTTCAAGCAATATATACACTCTTTAAATCACTCATAAACTCTCTAAAATAAGCTGAAATTTTATTTAAAACCCTTACTTTTATTCCCAATTAATGGGTAATTAAAAATCATTTCAAGAAACCTAATTATAGCCTTTATATAAAAATTCCAGCTTTATTAAACCATGAAAAATTGCTGTAATTATGTTTAAAAACACTTATTTCAATAATTTAAATCACCTACAATCAAATGCTATCAATATACATTAATTTAGAAACCTAGGGTTTTTAATTTGGGGCTTTTTAATTCAAAACCAAATCTGAAAATTTATATACAAAATACTTATCATTAAACATCCTAAAATCATCACGAAACCCAAAAACTATAATTAGATTTAGGGTAGATTGAATTAAAATCAAAAAGAAAAATAATTTTTTTTTGAATTGTGCGCACGAACCACCATGGCTAGGCGGCTGTTGCGCGACAGCCTAGTGGCCGCCGCTGCTGGCATGTGCTGGTGGTGATGGCGTGTGGTGGTGGCCGGCCGGTGTGTGGTGGTGTGTGTGGGTGGTGATTGAAACAAAATTACATAAAAATAAGGGGAAGGGGAAAAATTAAGGGGAAAAGAAAATAAGAGGAGAGAGAGAGAGTTTACCTATGGGTGCACTCCACCTTAGGCATATGATGGGTATTTATACCCTCTCTCAATATCCCTCCTACTTAAAATTCCTTTACTGCCCTTAATGATCCATTTCTTAGTCAAACTAGTATTTTGACTTTCTTTAATATTCATTTACTTTAAAAATTATCTTTTTATAAAATAATATGCCCCAATATTTCCAAATCATGAAATAAAATATTTTCAAGATTATTAATGATTGAAAATAAACTTTTAATTAAAATAATTCTTTTTAAATTAATGAAAACACCATAAATAATTCATTTGAATTATTTAAATACTTTAAGAAATACTTATTTAAATTAAAATACGTATAAAAATATGGGGTATTATAGTCTACCCCCCTTAAAAGAAGTTTCGTCCCGAAACTTGGGCAACGAAATTCAAACTTTTTTTCCTCACTTTGTGTAATATTGCTATACTCTTTTTTCATACGTTTGCCTTTAACATCTCTTTGAAATCAAAGTTACTCAAAATAACCGTTAAAAATGTACAAAAAGCACAAAAATAACTAAAAATATAGGGAAAGAGCGCGAAATTCTACCGCATTCTACCCCCCTTAAAGAGCACGAGTTTCGTCCCCGTAACTCAAAATATCTCAAACAACTCGGGATACTTCTTTTTCAGATCATCCTCGGCTTTCCAAGTCGCTTCCTCATACTCTTGGTTAGACCATAACACTTTAACAATCTTAACTTCCTTATTGTGTGTACTACGCACTTTATTATCAAGGATCTTGACAGGTTTTTCCTCATATGTTAAGCTTTGGTCTAACTGAATGGTTTCAGGTTGTAGTACATGTGACTTATCAGGGATATACCTTCTTAACTGTAATACATGAAATACATCATGCACTTTACTTAGCTCCATAGGTAAGGCTAGCCTATAAGCTACTTTGCCTATCCTTTGCAAATATCATTACACCTTTCATTGGTGACACCTTTAACAATACTTTGTCACTGACCTCAAATTACTCCTCTCTACGCTTCAAATCCACGTAGCTCTTTTGGCGATCTTGCGCCTCTTGAATCTTAGCTTGAACCTCCTTTACTTGTTTAACTGTATCCTCGCTCATTTGAGGCCCTAAAATCATTGTTTCACTTATGTCGTTCCAACAAATTGAACTATGACATTTTCTTCCATATGATGCCTCAAATGGAGCCATGCCAATGCTTGCATGGTAGCTATTATTATAAGAAAATTCAATTAAGTCCAAACTATCTTTCCATCCCACTTGGAAATCTATAACACAAGCCCTCAACATGTCTTCATGAATGGTTCTCTCAGTTTGCCCATCTGTGGCAGGGTGAAATGATGTACTCATCTTAAGTGTTGTACCAAAGTTTTCCTGCACACTATTCCAAAATTTTGAAAGAAACCTAGAATCTCTGTCAGACACAATATCCTTTGGAACTCCATGTAACCTCACAACATTTTTTATGTAAGCTTTTGCAAGTTGTTCCATCTTCCAGGTCTCCTTCATTGGTATAAACACTGCAGATTTTGTAAGTCTATCCACCACTACCCAAATGGTGTCATTTCCATTCTTTGAGTTTGGGAGGCAAGTCACAAAGTCCATTGAAATACAATCCCATTTCCATCCAGGAATTTCCAATGATTTCACAGTTCCTTGCGATCTTTTGTGTTCTATATTCACTTTTTGACAAGGTAGACACTTTGCCACAAATTCTACAAATTCATTCTTCATTCTGGGCCATCAATACATCTTTTTCAAGTCTTTATATAGCTTGTCCCCTCCTGGGTGTATTGAGTATGGTGTATTGTGACCCTCTTCCATCAAATTTCTATTTACCTCCTCACATTTTTGTGGTACACACCAACGACCTTTGTACCTTAAACTCCCATCTTCATGAATTTTAAAATCCATGGATTTTCCTTGCTTTATTTTCTCACGAATCCTATCCAACTTTACATCTCCTGCTTGATTTTCCCTTATCTCATCAAATATTGTTGGTTGAATACTTAGATTCGCAAGTATGCCTGCTGGCACTCCCCATTATACCACTTCTAGATTCATTTTCCTCATTTCTCTACATAACTCATCAGCCACTATCAAAGTATTCAGTCCATGACTGGTTTTACGACTTAAAGCGTCTGCAACAACATTTGTTTTCCCTTTATGATATTGTATGTCTAAGTCATAATCAGTCGTATATTCTAACCATCTCCTTTGGCGTGAGTTTAAATCCCTCTGAGTGAAAATGTATTTTAAGCTTTTATGGTCTGTATAAATCCTACATTTCACTCCATACAAGTAGTGCCTCCAAATCTTTAGCGCAAAAATGATTGCAGCTAATTCTAAGTCATGAGTAGGGTAATTTACTTCATGATTCTTCAATTGTCTTGATGCATATGCAATCACTTTCCCATTTTGCATAAGTACACCCTAGACCATTCTTAAATGCGTCACTGTATACATTACCATAAATACCACTATCATCTGGCAGTGTAAGCACTGGCGCTATGATTAGCTTTTGTTTCAAGAGTTGGAATGCTTCCGCACATCTGTCATCCCACTCAAAATTCTTGTCCTTCTTCATTAGAGAGGTCATAGGTTTAGCAATATTCAAAAAATCTTTCATAAAACGCCTATAATACCCTGCTAAACCTAAGAAACTCCTAACGTCAGACACTGTTTTTGGCTTAGGCCAACCTTTCACTGCTTCTATCTTTGCTGGATCTACTTCTACCCCATTTTTGGACACAAAATGGCCCAGAAATGCTGCGTAAAGCTTGTTTTCCCTTAGTGTTTGCAGAATTGCCCTCAGATGTTCTACATGTTCTTCTTTACTCTTCGAATACACCAGTATATCATCTATAAACACTACCACAAACTTGTCCATAAATGGATGAAATATCCTATTCATCAAGTCCATATAATTGCTGGAGCATTCGTCAATCCAAAAGGCATTACTGTGAACTCATAATGTCCATACCTTGTTCTAAATGTAGTCTTGGGAATATCTTCATCTGCAATCCTAAGTTGATGGTATCCAGACCTTAGATCAATCATAAAAAACAAAGTTACGCCTCTCAACTGGTCAAATAGGTCATCAATCCTTGGTAATGGGTACTTGTTCTTTATGGTGACCTTATTTAACTCCCTATAGTCAATACATAACCTCATACTTTCATCTTTCTTCTTCATAAATAACATTGGCGCTCCCCAAGGCGATGCACTTGGTCTTATATACCCCTTTTCTAACAAATCATGCAATTGCTCCTTTAACTCACTCATCTCTGCAGGTGCCATTCGATATGGTGCCTTGGAAATTGGTGTTGTTCCTGGAACTAGCTCTATTATGAAATCAATTTCCCTTTTGGGTGGCATTCCAGGAATCTCTTCTGGAAACACATCTAGAAACTCATTCACTACTTCTATACCCTCAGGCTTAGTTGTCTCCTCATGCTCCATATTCCTTACACTACAAAAATACAATGGATGCCCCTTCTTAATATACTTTGCCAATTTTAACACATATATGATCTTTGGGCACTTGGTTTCACCATGTATCCAATATGTCACCGACTCATTATCGGCTGTACTCATTTTTACTTTCGGCGATTGACAACTAATCTCTGCGCTGTACTTGCTCAACCAATCCATTCCCAGAATGACATCAAAGTCACTCAACCCAAACTCAATGAGATCCGACAAAAACACTTTTCCTTCGATTTCTAAAGGTACATCTTTAAAGATCTTGTTATACTTTACTACCCATCCGTAGGAATAACTATAGGAAAATCTACCTCATCTACAGTTTTCAAACAGTTTGATAATTTTAAAACAGTGGCCTTTGAAATAAAAGAAAAAGTTGTACCAGAATCAAACAAGACTTTAACAAGAATAGATTTTATAGAAAAGGTACCAGTGATGACATCTTTCGTGGAATCAGCCTCATGCTTACTCATAACATTCAACTTTCCTACAGCTCCACCAATTTGTTGGTTGTTTTTATTATTATTGTTGGTTTTTGCCGCATTCTGTTGTGCCCCCTTGTTCCCAGAATAGTTGTTCCTTCCCTGAAAGTTTCTCTGAGCCCCTCCTTGATTATTGCCCTGTTTTTTTTCGATTGGGATCCTTAGAGAAACATTCATACTCCCTGTGTCTAAACTTGTTGCAAGCACGACAAGTAACCGAATTTCCATCACAATCCCTACCAGGGTGGTTATTCTTGCATCTTTTGCAAAAAAATGCCTTCCATCCTTATTAAATCCCTGGTTAGAGTTCTTAGCTCCATTAAAGTTTTATCTTCCATGACGATTGTTACTTTGGAAATTATTATTGTTGCTAAAGTTGTTGTTGTTATGGTGGTACTTTTGCTTCTTAAAGTTGTTCTGGTTACCTTGCGGGTTTCCAGAATTTTGTCCCACCTCTTTTCTCTTTTCTTTCCCTTCTATCTCAGCTAGCTCTTTCCTTCTCTTCAGCTGCAATGCATAAAGATGTGTAGCTCTCCCATACACTTCATCCAAGGTTTCAAATACTTGACCACACAGCTTTAACTGCTAATCAGTAGTCAGACCACTCTCAAACTTCCTAGCCTTAGACTTTGCTATAAAAACTAACTCCTTAGCAAATCGTGACAGCTCAATAAACTTGGTGTAGTATTCAGTGACTGACATATTCCCCATCGCAAGGTTAGAAAATTCCTCAGCTTTTTATTTCTGTAAGAAGCTAGGGTAAAACTTGTCCTTAACCTTCTCCTGAAACATAGTCCATTCAAATCCAGGTAATGCCTTAATGGTAGTTTCATTTTGCTGCCACCAAAGGTCAGCTTCACCCCTAAGGTAATAGGCATCACAACCTAATTTCGAGTTCTTGGACACTCTACTGCCCCCAACAGTTTATCAAACTCCCTTAACCAGTTTTCCAGCATAGTTGGATCAGGCTCTCCTTTATAGGTCGGTGGCTTGCTCTGCGCCACCTTCTTAAACAGCTCTCCCTAAGCATCTACATTATTAGTTGAGTTCCTTGCCAACTGTTGGGCAACAACTGCCAACTGCCTCACAACTTCACTTAGTTCTCCTCCATCATTGTTGTTACCACTCCCTCCTGCCATCTTTCTTCGTCTGAATTAAAACAAAGGGGTCTTTATTAAATATGGTCTTGGTTAGCTCTCAAGTTAGACTCTCATCCAACTACTCACACCCTTGACATAAACACATTAAATTTTAAGCTAACAAATTGGGGTTAAAATTCCCAAAATTTGCAGCTTTGTCAACCAAATATTGATTGCAAACCAAGCACACATTTAATAAAGCATTACATTCATAAATAAAAATAATTCCCATTGATTCCTAGAGTTTAGAAATAAATCATTGGAATATTTTTGAGTAAGAAATGGCTTATTGAAGTAGTGATACGAAATAAATGGTTTGGGAACAAAATGAATGATTTGTCAATAAAATGAGTTAATTGACAAGGAAATGAATGAAATATATTGCTGAGTAAGAAAATGAATAGAATACTGAAATAAAATGAGTTTAAATAACTTATGCAACTACATAAGTTTACTAACTCACTATGAACATGGCACTTATTGCTTTACTAAAACTAAGATAATTAAAATGCGGAAACGAATATAAGAATCCTAAAAGAAATGAAACTACAAAAATATAGCCCGTTCGAACATTATCCTCCTTGTTAGTAGATTGTTTGTAGCTTCAAGGATCGAATTTAAAATCATCCTCTTCCTCCATTGGTTCAGGTGACTCTGGTTCTTGCTCTACTTGGACAAACTCTTCATCTTCCTCATCATCAGATGAAATATCAATTATAATTGGAGTAGGAGGTGGATTTGGATTTGGAATTTCTATAATGGAACTATCAACAGCATGGTTACTCTCATCCATCATCTCTCCTTCTCCTTGCTCTCCACCTATCCCCGTTTGATTACCCTGAGTGGGAGAAGAACTTCCTGAATGACTCGTGGAAAGGGAATTATTCCCTACCGGATTTTCATAGTAATAACTGGGATATGGAATATGTAAGTGCTGGCAATAATCTTTCTCAACTTTAACAAGATAAGAAATCAAGAATTTGTAGTCAGGGTACCATTGTCCATAGAAATTTTTATATTTAGAGTAGTTTGGGATGTCCCCTGGTAAATAGAAATCAGAGAATTTTGCTTTTGACAGCAAGATATGGGGGTTCATCTAGAAGAAAGTGAATAATCATAGAAGAAACACGATAAGGAAGATCATAGTGCTTGTCTCCTAAGACATTGCTCATGTGGGAACAATATAATTGAATTTTGTTGACATAGTCAAACGGATGTTCATAGTCTTCTTAATTAGAGTACCAATTTGGAAAAGTTTGCTAGGAAGAATTGGCATCCTGAAAAGGAAAAGGTTTAGAAAAGAATCCCCTTCCCAAAGAAAATAAAAACAATACAGTTCTTGCATGAATTAAGTTCAATGTTCAATCAAACAATTTCTCTTATTCTAATCATATAATCATATGCTTTCAATCAATTCACATGATCAAACATCACAACCTAAAATTTTAATGCATACAAGAACATAATTATTTCTAACTTATATGCCCAAATTCTTTCCTACCCAAGCTCACCAACATGCTTTTAAAAGCTTTTAACACATAATACTTACCTCAATCCTTGCTTTCCTACAAAATGAACAAACTAAAAATATTTTTGACCTTTTTTTATAAAAAAAATTAATTTTCAAAAATAAGCCCAAAAAAGACCAAAATATTCGGCCATTAAAAAAAAAATTCAGACACCCAAAGTAATAAAAAAAAAAAAATCAGATGTCCATTTAAAAAAAAAATTCGGATTTTTTTTAAAATAAAGAAAATTTTGGATTTTCTAAAAAAATTAAATAAATAAAATTTTCCGGTTTCCAAAATTTAAAATAAGTGAAAATAACCCTCTTTTAAAATAACTTAAATAAATAAGCACTAGGCCAAGTTTAAAACAAAATACTTTAAAACACGTTTTTGGCTTTAGTGGTAATAAAAATCTCAACCTGGCTCTGATACCACTTTGTAGCACCGTAAAAATCCCTTTCGTTTAAAATACCTGTTTTGCCCTTTTTAAAATACGAAATAGGAATATCTAAGACATTACCGCCACCGTGAACACGGCTAAGACAAATATCAAAGACACACAGCGGAAGAGTATCTTTAAAACCATTCAAAACAAGTCGGTTTTAAAAAGTCAAACCAAACAAAAGTATAGTCAAACGAAGTCAACCTACAACTTAGAACCATTGTAGGCCCTTAAAACCAAATAATACTGAAAACCTTTACGTTAGTCTCATGAGAAAAATAAAATAAATAATATTCAAAGCAAATAAAACACATCATATCCCTATGAAAACTAAGCATAATTCGCTCTTCACTCATGCCCATCACGAAAATGCTTCATCACCTGGAAAGTTTCTCTCTACTTGTCTCCACTACTCGCTATTAGAAATGGGTCATCGTAGGGCCAAGGTAAAGACAAGACCAAACAAACATACAAACACACAATCAGCAATGTTGAGTACATAAGCTTAATAAAAACACACTAACATGCTTTCATCTTATCAACACACAACTTACCATGTTGCACCTGTTTACAAGCATACAAGACACTCAACACCTAACTAGACAAATACCAATGTTCAATTAATTCTGATTACGCATCAAACAAGTTTCCCCCTACCTGCCCCAATAAAGGGGTACTAACACAGGAGCTAATCGTGCAAGCATAATATAAACCACTCGTAAGTGGCGGAATTCCTACGCATAATAAAAAGGAAAATACAGCGTCCTGTACTCCCCGTAGAAGTTATGGTCAAATATTAAGTCGCATAACTCCCCCCATATGTTCATACTCAA